GACCTGGGTGTCCTTGTGCATGAGTTGGTTTGCAGGTGCAAGAGGTAACTAAGAAGGCAAATGGAATTTTGTTCTTCATTGCCAGAGGGATTGAGTTTAAAAGCACATAGGTTTTCTTAAGGCTGTGTAGGATGCTGGTGAGGCCACACCTGGAGTACTGCGTGCAGTTTTAGTCATCTTACTTGAAAAAGGATGTACAGGCACTGGAGGAGGGGTGCAGAGGAGGTTCACTAGGTTGATGCCAGAGTTGAGAGAGTTGACTTATCAGGAGAGACTGAGTATACTGTGATCATTTTCATTGGAATTTAGAAGAATGAGGGGGGGATCTTATAGAAACACCCAAAATTATGAAGGGAATAGACAAGATAGAAGCAGGGAGGTTGTTTCCACTGGCAGGTGAAACTAGAACAAGATGGTAAAGCCTCAAAATTAGGGGGATTAGATTTAGGTCTGAATTGAGGGGGAACCTCTTCATAACGGGGAAGCAATGGTCTAGTGGTATTATTGCTGGACTGTTAAATCCAGATAACGTTCTGGGGACCCAGGTTCGAATCCTGCCATGGCAGATGGTGGAATTTGAATTCAATAAATATCTGGAATTAAGGATCTAATGATGACCATGAACCCATTGTCGATTGTCAGAAAAACCCATCTAGTTCGCTAATGTCCTTTAGGGAAGGAAACTACTATCCTTACCTGGTCTGGCCTCATATGACTCCAGATCCACAGCAATATGGTTGACTTTAAACTGCCCTCTGGGCAATTAAGGATGGGTAATAAATGCTGCCTGGTCAGCGACACCCTCATCCCATGAACGAATTTAAAAAAAAACTCTAAGGAATGTGAATCTGTGGAATTCCCTGCCAAGTGAAGAAGATGAGGCTTCCTCATTGAATGTTTATAAAGCTAAGATAGATAATTTTTTGAATAGTAAAGGAATTAAGGGTTATGGTGAGATGGTGGGTAAGTGGAACTGAGGCCACAAAAAAATCAGCCATGATCTTATTGAATAGCGGAGCGGGCTCGAAGGACCAGATGGCCTACTCATGTTCCTGGTTCTTATGTTCACCTGTAGAGATAAATCAGAAAAATCATGTCCAGTGACCCTTCCTCAGAACCCTTCATATTCATTCCTTTGAGAAAGTGCTCGTGATTACCTTCTTGAACCACAGAATCCATGTACTGTAGGTAGATCCACAATGCCATGAGGGAGAGAATTCCAGGATTTTGTCCCAGCAATGCCAAAGCAGATATGGTCATCTTGATTGAGCGGTCTTGACAGGTTGGACATGTGAAGCATGTTTTGAAAATGTTTTTTGGGGTCAGTCCAGAATTAGTGGGCACTGATTTAAAATTAGGGGCCAATCTTTCAGGATGAAGATGAGAAAATTTTTTCATTGTAAGAGTGTACAACTTCAGAACTGTTTGTCTCAGGAGCTGGTGGAAATGGGATAATTGAACATTTTAAAGATGGAGGTAGATAGATTCTTGTGAGGCACAGAGTTTATCTGGGGTAAATGGAAATGTAGAATTGACAACACATGCACATCAGCCATGATCTTACTGCATGGATGGGGCAGCACTGAGTGCCAGAGTGTTATATTTCTGCTCCTACTTCAAATGTTTCTAAAGATTATTACACAGAATGAGACCTTCTGGTGTGGAGATAACATCTTGTCATAGTTGAGGATTGGTTAGAGAACAGCAAACAGAATAGGTAGAAATGGGCTATTTTTGGGTTAGCATGATGTAACAAGTCAAAAGTCACAGGATCTACTGGGGCTTAATAATTTATAAACTAATGTATGCTTGCTAAATTTACTGACAACACCAAGGTAGGTAAGTTGTGAAGAGGACAGAAAGACTGTACAAAGGGATATGGACAGAAATAGTGATTTGCTATTACAAGAAAGAAGACACATTCTGTTTTTCATTTTCCAGACATTTTACAGGAAATACCAATGTGAGGGAAATCCTGCATGTGCATTGTATAAAAGGACAGTGCTGGTCGGTTGGCAAGTGGACTCTGATTGGTAGATGCCTCTAGAGGATGGTTTTCACCTTGAATTTGTATTCTTGTGAATAATCCTGATGAGTATAAGACCAAAAGCTTTGACAAAATATTGCATTTTTTCAGCAATACTCATTATGTAGATTGGTTAACTGAGTGAGCAGAAAACTTGGAAGATAGAATATCATATGGGAAACAGTGAACTTTCCACTTTGGAAAGTGGTATGTTATTTAGCTGAAGAGAAATTGCACAAAAGCTGGATCTGGGTGTCCAGGTACATGAGTGACAAAATGTTTGTATTCAGGTACTACAAGAAATTAGGAATGGGCTGTTGTCAGTTATTGCAAGGAAAATTGAATATTTTTGTATTTGTTTGAGGGATGTGGGTGCTGCTGGGTAGGCCAGCATTTATTACCCATTGCCTAATTAGTCTAGAACCTGGAGGCTTGCTAAGCCATTTCAGAAGGCAGTTAAGAGTCAACCACATTGTTGTGGGTCTAGAGTTGCATGTAGGCCAGACCATGTCAGGATGGCATATTGACGGGATCATTGAACATTCCTAAGGCCAAGTGAGATTTGATTCTTGATTGACAAGGGAATCAAAGACTGCAGGAGACAGACAAGAAAAGTACTGTGATCAGTTCAGCTCTTGTCACTCACTGAGGTAACACACTAGAAATCAGTTCTCACTTTTCCTGGAACTATCACAGTGTGAAAATTTGATTAAAACACCGAATTGCCCAATTTTGCCTGTCAAATTCAGGTTAAAAAAGAATAACGCACCACGTTTTTCATAAACAGGAAAATAAATATTTGTTTTTAACCAATGGCAAGAAAAGAAAATATGAATTGCTAGCTTTTAACTGCAAAACCCAAATTCTACCCATGTTTAAAATTCCTATACACACAAACAGACACAAAAGACGCAAATGTTAGAGAAAGGGTGAAAAAGCACAGTTTGGCACCAATGAGGATCACAGATGTAGATGTTCTGAAGAAGGGTCACTGGATCCAAACGTTGACTTTGCTTTCTCTCCCTAGATGTTGTCAGACCTGCTTAGTTCTCCCTGAAATTTCTGTTTTTGTTACGGATGTTGATGAGTTGTTTTCTTTTGACTGCTAATGACAGGAGATGGTGCACACACTGATTCTCAGACTTCCATTAACTGGTTGAGGATTCACCCTTGCGGTGTGTCTGAAGGTGATTTTTCACCCTTTTCTATTCAGCAAAAGAATTTGCAGAGAGATCAGTTTATAGTGAGTGAGAACAGCTGCCAGATTTTCTGTTACTTCCTCACACAATAGGAGGAGAGAGAGAGTTGAATGGATACTTTCTCTTCACATGCTGGATATTTCACCTATATTACACTCAAGGCTGTAGTTATCTGCCCTTTAAACAGTTACATGGTTGTTATTATCCTGCGCCCACAATAGGATTGTTTCTGGATAAAACTGATTTCACATTCACACCCACAACTACAACACACACACACTTTTCTCTCTCTCTTTTCTGCACTACTTCAATAAGATAAAATTGTACATACAGCTCACAATGAGGTCTTTACACAGCCATGATGTCCTCAAGTGGGGTAGCAGGCTTGAGGGGAGGCAATGGCCTCGTGGTATTATCGCTGGACTGTTAGTCCTGAGACCAGGTAACATTCTGGGGACCCAGGTTTGAATCCCGCCACGGCAGATGGTAGAATTTGAATTCAATAAATATCTGGAATTAAGAACCTAATGATGACCATTGTCGATTGTCGGAAAAACCCATCTGGTTCACTAGTGTCCTTTCGGGAAAGAAACTGCCATCCTTGCCTGGTCTGGACTACATGTGACTCCAGACCCACAACAATGTGGTTGACATGTTAGCTGCCCTCTCGGTAATCAAGAATGGGCAATAAATGCTGGCCTAGCCAGTAAACCCCACATCCTGTGAATGAATTTAAAAAAAAAAGCCTACTCCAGCTTCTAATTCATATGCTCATGTGTATGAACCTCAAACAACTGTTTAAACAAAGTTTTTTTTTGCTCTTCAGAAAGAGGGCACAGAAGTGGTGGGTGGAATAGTGTTGTGTTCTGTGGAGAAGCAAAGAGTCAGAGGTATTTTCATTTCGTCTGCATCCTTAACAATTTCAGGAGACTTAGTGGTGCAGGTACATAGCTCCTTGAACATGGTGTCACAGGTAGATAGAGTGGTGAAGAAGGTGTTTGGCAGGCTAGCCTTCATCAGTCAGAGCAGTGAGTATAGGAGTTGGGACGTCATGTTACGGCTGTACAAGACATTGGTGAGGCCACTTTTGAAATACTGTGTACGATTCTGGTTGTCCTGCTACAGGAAGGATGTTATTAAACTGGAAAGGATGCAAATAAGATTTACAAGGATGTTACTGAGACTGGAAGGTTTGAGTTATAGGATAGGCTGGGACTTGTTCCTGGAGCGTAGGAGGCTGAGAGGTGACGTTACAGAGATTATAAAATCATGGGGGCATAGATAAGGTGAATAACCAAGCTCTTTCTGTTTTAATGAGTAATAGCCAAGGAGAGTCTAAAACTAGAGGGCATAGATTTAAGGTGAGTCGAGAAAGATTTAGAAGGGACCCAAGGGACAACTTTTCACACAGAGGATGGTGTGTATATGGAATAAGCTGCGAGATGAAGGGGTAGAGGCAGGTACAATTATAACATTTAAGACATTTGGGCAGGTACATGAATAGGAAAGGTTTAGAGGGATATGGACAAAATGTAAGCAAATGGGACTAGTTCAGTTTAGGAAACTTGGTTGCCAGTACCTGGATGAGTTGGGTAGAAGGGTCTGTTTCTGTGCTGTATGACTCTATACCTATCCCACAACGATGGATATAACAAACTGCGTAATTTGTGGTGATGGCTTTGATCGGTAAAACCTCGGCAAGTGTGGTATTTAATCTGAACCAGTCTGGCAGCTGAGGTGCATGTTTCATCAGTAACAGGCTCTCCTTCCTACAGGATTGTGATGTCGGTGAATGACAAATGGCATTACTGCCACAACTCGGATGTGTTGGTGGGATCTCGAGCAATGCGGGATCGACACCTGCGACTACTAGGATATACCATTCTGCAGGTAGAGTTCTTCCCTTCCTGAAGCCATTCAACGATAGAGGGTTACAGCACAGGAGAAGACCATCCAGCCTTTCATGTCTGTGCCAGCTGTTTGCTGGAGCAATCCCAAATTAAAATACTGCATTTAAGTTAGTGCTTAAATTAGCATTTAAGATTCCATATGCGTTGCTAATCACTCTCTCAATATCTCCTGCCACTTCTGAAGATTGATGCAGAAGGATTTATGCCATTTAGTCTGCATTGCCTCACGCTATCTCTTCTGTCAAAATGTATCGCACCTCAAAGAGAGTTGAGGAACCGTAAAGGAAAAAAGACCCTGATGGGAGTTGTGTACAGGCCTCTCAGCAGTAGTCAAGATATGCGGCAGAAAATAAATCAGGAGATAGAAAAGGCATGTAAGACAGGCACTATTACAATAATCATGGGGATTTCAATATGCAGGTGGACTGGGAAAATCAGTTTGATAGCAGATTTCAAGAAAAGGAATTTGTGGAATGTCTACGAAATGGGTTTTTGGAGCAGCTTGTGGTAGGACCCAATAGATAACAGGCAGTTCTGGATTTAGTGATGTGTAATGAGGAAGACTTGATTAGGGAGTTTAAGGTGAAGGAACCCCTTGGGAGCAATGACCATAATAACAATAGAATTCACCCTGCAGTTTGAGAGAGTGAAGCTGGAATCAGATGTAATCGTATTACAGTTGAGTAAAGGTAACTACCAAGATATGAGGGAGGAACTGCCCAGAATTGATTGGAAAGGGAGCCTAGCAGGGAAGATGGTAGAGCAGCAATGACAGGTGTTCCTGGGGGTAATTTGGGACGCACAGCAGAAATGCATCCCAAGGAAGAAGAAACATATTAAGGGGAGGACAAGGCAACTATGGCTGACAAGGGAAGTCGGGGACAGCATAAAAGCAAAAGAGAAAGCATACAATGTGGTGAAGATTAGGAGGAAACATTTAAAAAACGGCCGAGGATATCTTAAAAAGAAACAATAAGGGGGAAAAAGATGAAGTATAAGAGTCAGCCAGCTGGTAGTATAAAAGAAGATTGCAACAGTTTTTTTTAGATACCTAAAACGTAAGTGTGAGGCAAGAGTGGACATTGGACTACTGGAAAACGAGGCTGGAGAAGTATTAATGGGGAACAGTGAAATGGTAGAGGAACTGAATAAGAACAGTCTTTGCATCAGTTTTCACAGTGGAAGACACCAGCAGCAGTGGGGCAGAGGTGGGTGTAGTGACCATCACTAATGAAAAAGAGCTGGGAAAGCTGAAGGTGGATAAATCACGTGGCCTATATGGGCTACACCCTGAGGCTCTGAAGGAGATAGTTGAGGAGATTGTGGAGACATTGGTGGTGACTTGCAGGAATCACTGGAATCAGGGAAGGTTCCAGAGAACGGGAAAATGGCTGAACCAACACCCCTGTTTAACAAAGGAGGGAGGATGAGACTGTGGAGTACTTGGAAGTGCATGGTAATGTAGGACAGAGTCAGCACTGCTTCATCAAGGGGAGCTCATGTCTGACAAATCTGTTAGAATTCTTTGAGGAGGTAACAAGCAAGTTAGACAAAGGAGAGTCAGTGGATGTGATATATTTCAGTTTCCAGAAGGCCTTTGACAAGGTGCCACACAGGAGGCTGCTAAATGTTAACCTTCATTTCAAGAGGGCTAGAAAGCAAGAGCAGAGATGTACTGCTGAGGCTGTATAAGGCTGTGGTCAGACCACATTTGGAATATTGTGAACAGTTTTGGGCCCCGTATTTTAGGAAGGATCTCCTGGTATTGGAGGGGGTCCAGAAGTGTACAAGAATGATCTTGGGCTGAAGAGCTTGTCATATGAAGAGCGGTTGAGGACTCTGGGTCTGTTCTTGATGGAGTTTAGAAGGATGAGGTGGGATCTGATTGCAGCTTATGGAATACTGAGAAGCTTGGATGTGGAGATGATATTTCCACTAGTAGGAGTGACTAGAACTTCAGAGTTAAGGAATGACCCTTCAGAACAGAAATAAGGAGGAATTTCTTCAGCCAGAGGGTGGTGAATCTGTGGAACTCATTGCCACAGAGGGCTGTGGAGGCCAAGTCATTCACTGTATTTAAGACAGAGATAGATAGTTTCTTGATTGGTAAGGGGATCATGGGTTACAGGGAAAGGCAGGCGAATGGGATTGAGAGATATATCAGCCATGATCAAATGGCAGAGCAAACTCAATGGGCTGAATGGCCTAATTCTGCTACATTATGGTCTTTTCCAGTTGATTGTTATCTTCCTTGCTGTTCACATTCCTCCAAGTTTCACATCAAAAAGTTTTGAAATTTTATTCTGAATGATTTGGATATTGAAATAGATATGCCACAAAAATCAATGAACCTAGTAGTGACCCCTGAGGAACACCACTATCTGTGTACCAGCCCCCAGCTCCAGAAAAAGCCATCCACCATCACTCACTGCTTTCTGTCCTTAAGCCAATTTGCTTTTCTAAGTGGACCCTGACCTTCCTAATCCATGAATTTCAATTTTTTTAACCAACCTTGCCAAAAACATGTAGACAACAGTCACCATACCCACCTCATGAATTTTCTCAGATACTTTGTCAAAAAGTTCAATTTGTTGAGGTAAGCATGATTTGCCTTTTACAACTTGGTGCCAGATCTCCTCCAAATTTGTCTGCTTCAGGAGGTTCTGGTGCTGGAGGCAAAGCAATGAAGAGACACTGGATTGATCCCAAGGATCACAGTTTGAGTTCTTGGGAAACCTGAGCTATAGTAAGGAAGCATCACAGAGATCACCATAGATAGGTTGAGAAGATTCAGAAATTTACTTACTATTAAATGACAAGAATCGAACAAGGGACTCACGTGGCTTTGAAAACTCAGATGCCAGTTTGAGTTGAGGATTGTTTAACTGGGATCCCAGTGCACATGGGTGATGTGTGTCCAGGATTTGCTGATAGTTTAGGGTGTGGTGGTAGAGTTTTGACTGAGGAGAAGTTAACAAAGAGTGGAAAGCAGGAGACCAATTAAAAGAGTCTTCAGTCACTCATTGTGACTTTGCTCAAAGGGCAGTTGGAGTGTAATGTACTGACTCAAATAAACCTGGTTGGCATCCAGAGAAATATGGACTGAATCTTGTCCCCTCTTTCTGTGCATGCTGCAAAGCAACTTGCCCTCTAAGCTCATCTAGGACATTGTCCTGAAGTTGTCAAAAGCTTTTCTTTGTGCCTGACAGTCTCAGCTACTTCAAGACCATGCAGCTGTTAGGATAAACCATGTCTTCACCCTGTATTGAAGCAAACTTTTACAATTATATCACGGAATCAAATAACAGTCCAGCAGAAAACACTGTGCTGGTGTTTGAGGAATCTGGTCAGTCCCACTCCCCTGCATTGTTTTCTCTTTCAAGTACTTTTCCAGTTTCCTTCTGAAGATTATGATGCATTTGTATTCGCCAATCAAACAAGAAAAGCACTTCATATGCCAACCACTCATACGAAAAGATTTTTCAATGTAACCCTTCTATGATTCATGCCATTTCTCTTCAATTTCAGAGTTTGTTTTGTGATTTTTTTTTTGTTTTTATTTCCACATTTCTTATAAATTTAGGATCGCTGTCATAGACCATGGCAACAGAAGCAGCGAGTGGCCCAGTTGGTCAGGTCCTGGATGACAAATTCAGGGATTGTGAGCTCAAACCTCATCAGCAAAGGCTGCAAAATTAAATTGAGTCAATCAGATAACTTGTGATTTGACACCAGGAAAGAACACTATGAAAGTTGCCAGCTTGTTGGAAAAACCCACTGAGTCACTTGTATCCTTGAGGGAAGGGAACCTGCTGCCTTCAGGTCTGGATATCAGTGTAACTCTGATTTCTCACTATGTGGTTGTCCTTAAATCTCCCCTGATGTAAGCACTCATCTTTGACAAGGTTTCAGTGGCATCACTGCCTGAACAGCATCATCCACATCCCTGCTCCTCCTCTGAGGCACTAGGCACTGATTCCAGATCTGATCTGTGTGAACAGTCCTTGAACTGACTGTTGAGAGGGATATATGTCTTGTTTAAAAAAAAAACCCTTGCATTTTAAACGTCATGTTGCATGTACTGCAAACCTACAGCTCAAATGTTTCCACCTAACTATGTTTCTTTGTCCTCTGCTCTCACTTACAGCTGCCTTACCATGAGCTCGAAAAACTGAATGGGATCGAGGAAGTTAAGCATTATTTACGGAAAAGACTCCTGGATGTGCAGTTATGACGATCAAAGAGTTGATTTTTTTTTTTGTATCCTGCTCCTGTTTCTATTTAGGTGAAATGGAACCACCTGCCCTTCAGCAGTCAGAATGCCTGGAAATTGCAGCAACAAAACAGTTGGAATTCCAGCAATGCTGTTTCTCTCTCTGTCATCACTTCTTCTGTTTTTTTCAGAGTGGAGTGAGAATCTTTCCTGTGGTTTTTCTGCTTTAGTGTGTTCAGATGCTAACTACTGCCACATGTTTTATACCACCCTTGGAGATGACAAGCTTTTAAATGAAAAGCCTTGGGGTGTGAATAATGCTTTTGTTCAGTTGAGAACTTGCAGGGAGGTTACATTATTTTGATCAATGTTCACTGACCCTCTTCTGCTGCGGTTATCTTCTGTCCCTTCATCTGCCTCTCATCACCTCTGCAACCTTTTCCACTGGCAAGAGGATGTTATACAGTCCAAGCACTGGGAAGCAGATTCTGAGTGGCTCTACGTGGAGGTACCTCCCAGCTTCAGCTCCTTTAGCAATTCTGGTTCTCTGGCTAAAGAATGGAGAAGGCAGAGACAGGATGCTAACCAGCAAAGTTGGGAAAGAACTCAGATTTCTGATGCAATGTTGTGATACCAGCACACTGCCCAAAAGGGATCTATGTTGACCAGTTCTGAACTCCTTGAGCAGTTCTGTAGGAGATTGTTTTATAGCTGCTGCCTTTTGTCCTTCCTGGTGTTATGGGCTTGGATTGGAAGGTGCTGTTGAGGGGGCTTTGGTGAATTTCTGCTGTGCATCTTGTAAATGGTACACACTGCAGTGACTGAGCATCGTTGTGGAGGGAGTGAATATTGGAGCTGATGAATGAGGTGCAGGTCAAGTGGGCTGCTTTGTCCTAGGTTTTATTGAAATTATTGAATTTTTTTGGATCTCCACCCACCGATCCAGGCAGTCGGTTGATGCATTGATGTAGAACAAAAGCTCTGGTGATATTGATGAAAATGAGTGAAGATCTTCCATATCCTAGACTACTCTCAGTTATAGGGCTACTGGCCACTCTGGAAATTGATGGAGATGATGGTAGCTAGGGGAGAGGACTCTGGTGAAGATGACAGTTGCAAGGCAAGAGGGGTTTGGCCGGGTTTATTGCTCAGGGAGAGGGTAACTGTGGACAATGTCACTAGGGGAAACGATACTATTTGACTCAGTTGCTAGGGCAGGGGATTTGGTGACGGTAGTTACAATGGGAGGGGAATTGGTAACAGTGGTTGCTAGTGGAGTGTATGTTGGTGATGGTAGTTGTTATGGGAGATGTTATAGGTGGCAGTGATTGCTATGGGAGAAGGTGTTGGCAGTGATTGCTGGGAGGGATTGTTGGTGACACTGGTTTCTGGAGATAGAGCTTTCGTTCCAGTGGTTACTATGGGAGAAGGTGCTGGTCTGGTGGTTGCTATGGGAGAGCATATTGGTAGTTGCTGTGGCAGAGTGTTGGTATCAGTGGTTGTGAGGGGAGAGGGTATTGGTGATGTTGGTTGCTATGGCAGAATATAGTGATGCTGATGGTTGCTAGGGGAGGTGATGTTGATGGCAGTGGTGATTGGTATCAGTGCTTGCGAAGGGAAGAGGGTATTGGTGATGGTCGTTGCTGTGGAAAGGGTGTCGCTAGAGTAATATTGGATACCTAAATATCGTGTTGACTGGAGGCTGTCCTGTGGGAAGGTAGGAGATAAAGACAGTTGTGAAATGATTCTGCAGTGAGTAGCCAGTCTGGAGCTGCCTTCCTCTTCCTGGTGGATATGTGACATAGTGCCACATCTAGACCCACTGACTGATAAACATGACTGGGTGAGTTTGCCTGAGTTGGATTATAGTAGTTAACTGATGCTCATATGTTAATTGTGTGGGTTGTAGGTAGTCACTGGAACGCCGAATGTGAGTGAATTTTAATTTCAGCTGGTTTGGGCAGAGGGTGCGTTTGGTGATGTCCCGGGTTGGGGCAGGGGTTGGCAGGGATGGGCGGGGAGTCTGAGCTAAATGCAGTGTTTAAAATTGGGTAAATTTTTGGGTGGTGGGTTTTGAGGTTTTAACGGGATCTTCTGTTTGAAGATATGGAATGGATTTAAAAAGAAAATTGAATGTGAATAGAATGAAAAAGTGGTGAAAATACAAAACAAGTCCACCAGTTTCGAGTATTGAAGTCACATTTTTCAACGTAAGCTGTGTTTGGAGCATTGCAAAGAAGGGGTAAGATTTCAAATGTGTTTACCTTAGAACAGATCCACTGGTGTGCTGGCCTTTCTTTCTAGTTTTAAGTTGTTTGTATCACTGCAACTAAGGAATGATCCAGTGTAACCCACTGAGATTAAAAAATACTCTGGAATAAACACAAAGAAGATGTCAAATTTCTTCTCTCTCAAACCATCTCAGACACTGAACATTCCTTGAGTAGCAAAAGTACTGACAATTATGACATTGTCCAAGTCTTGCACTATCCTGGTAAAGATACACTCTCTACAGAATAAAGAGAATCACAAAATGTCAAGTGAGCGTTATCTCTTTAAATGAGCAATTTTCCCAGTGCCACCCACCTTCTCCCTGTAACCCTGCACATTCTTCCTTTTCAGATAATAATCCAGTTCCCTCTTAAGCATTGATCTAAGCTTTCAGGCAACATATTCCACTTCAACTTAAATGTATTGCCTCACGTCACTTTTTTTTGAAAATCGCCTCAAATCTGTGCCTTCTGGTTCTTGTATTTTCCACCAATGGGAGCAGTTTCTCCCTTTCTGTTCAGACCTCCTGTGGTTTTGAACATCTTGATCAAATCTTCTCTCAACCATCTTCAATTTTCACTAAAGGAAACATCTCCTCTATACGTAATTGAAGTCCCTCAATGCCCACTGTTCTCATGAATCATTTCTGCACTCTCCAGCAACAAGCCAGCTGATGTTGAGCTAGTGTCTTTACAAATTTGATGTAACATCCTTCCTCTTGACCTCAGATACAGATATGATTCTGTTGGCTTTAGTAACTGTTCTCTTAACCTGTCCTGCCATGTTTCATCTATCCACATAGATACAGTCCCTCTGCTCCTGCAGCCACTTTAGAGTTGTACTTTTCATATTGTCTTTCCTTACAAAGCAACATGTTCTTACAAAAATGAATCACTTCACACTTTGGTGGTTTGAACTTCATCGACCATGTTCAACTTTTTACAATGTACATCAATGACAGATGAGATGAGCAAAGGCATTAATTTACAGATGATGTAAACATAGGAAAGAATGTTGTGAAGAAGACAGGAGTCTGCAGGCAGATAGCGATTGATTTGAGTGAGAACAAAAAAAAATGTGGTTGGTGGAGTATAATGTGGGAAAATGTGAAATTGTTGACTTTGGCAGGATGAATGAAGATGCTGGGAATGACCCAAATGGAGAATGACTTTAAATTTGAGGTGCAAAGGTATCTAGTCACAAAAATTGATGTGGAGCTACAGTAGTTAATCAAGAACTTGATGGGATATTTTGTTACAAGGGGATTTAACATGAAAGTAAGGATGTTAAACAGAGCAATAATAATGAGACCACATCTCAAATATAGTGCAGTTTTGGTGTCCTTATGGAAGAATGTAAGTGCATTGGAGGAGGTTTGCTAGATTGAAATCTGGAATGAGAGCATGTGTCTTATGAGGATATTTTGAATCACTGTGGTAATGCACTGAAAATTAAGTACCACTATTTCCTGAATTGTTACAAATGTGAAAGGACTTACTGAAACTATCCAAAGTATTCAACTTACCTATTGATGAACTTGAGTTAAAAGAAACCCTCACTGGTTTTCTGTACTTAACAAAATAACTTTTAAACAGACAAATTGTCTTTAGCCAATTGCAATTAGGAATTATAGATTGCTAACTTACAACTCTACACCTTTACTCTATCCCCCTTAAATTCCTCTCTTCTCAAGCAGACAGACACATAAGAACAGACAAGACATGGATATTATGGGTGGAAAAAGAAAAGTCATGGAAACATAGTTGGTTAGCACCAATCTGGAGCACAGGATTTGTTGCATTGTTTTGTTACTCTTCATTTCAATTTCTTTCTGTTGACAAATGGTTGTTTTACACACTGGTGTGCTCTCCATTCATTGGCTGAGAATTAGTCCTTTCACTGTCTTGAAAGGCATTCATAGGAGAGAGAGAGACAGGGAGATTTTTTGATGCTTTCTCTTAGCAGCTTTGCTGATTCTGTGCTACGCTGTTTCTTATGGTAACCTTGTCAGGAGCCAATCAAAAAGCTGTTACCAAGCGGTATTCTTTTAGATCAGAAGCTATCAGCTCTGTGGCATCTGCTTCTGCTCTCACTGCTCCAGGAAATACATGATAGTGAATATAATTCAATGAACTGCACTAAACGTGATTTTCTAAAAATTGCAGTCAACTCCTTGCACAGTCCCTTTGGTTTAAATCAATATCTTCCATTGTTTACCGGGGAAGCATGATGGCACAGTGGTGCATTGCTGCCTCACAGCGCCAGTGACCCAGATTTGGATCCAGCACCTGGCATCTCTTTTCAACTGCATAATTCTAAGTTTGAATCATTTTTCTGTCTGTCTGTATCATATCTACAGTTACAACCTCTTAAATTCACTTCCTCATTTTTATCAAACTCCAATCTTTTAAGATCAGTCTTTTTTAAATGAAATTCCTATTCTATCCACATCTTTTTAATTTCTTTTCCATTTCAAGCTCTCTTAACTCTAACTCAATATTAACTGATTCTCATGTCTCACGCCTTGGGCGTACCTGATCTCTCTCTTGTATTTGCATTAAAACCAAATGCCTTGCTAGTCTTTCAATTATCTTTTGCTGCCTTAGTCCTTGCAGGCAATTCTACTTCTCATGTGCTGGGACCCCAGGTATTCACATTATAAATAATGATTTAGATGAGGGAACTAAATAAAATATCTACAAATTTATGACAACATCCTCAGCTCAACAAAATTTTCTAAATCTCCTGAGAATTTTTGTCAGCTCAAGAAATGTATGATTAAATTGGGATATTTTATGAAATTTGTAATCTACAGAAGTCTTATTGCCTCAGATCCCAAATAAAGTATCTAACTTCCTGTTGCTATGAAAACTAAGCTAGAGCTGTTAGTATCATTAATCTACTGCCCTAATTTTGTTTCATTCATTTGGATGCACTATTGGCCCATTAGCTCCAAAAATCTAGTGCAGACCAATGGGATAATGGTTATTTGCTGTCACACTAATATAGAGTGTATTTTAACAAAAGCCTTAATACAGTATTAGACAACAGGGGACAAATGGCAAGTTGGATTGTTAGCTGGTTCAAGACAAAGGAAAACACAGAATAAAGGGTGGATATTAAGAGTAGCAGATATCTGGAAGTATGTTCCACTGGCTGGGACAACTGCAATTCGTAAGTTACCTCAAGGACTTTGGAATCAAAATCACAATTTCTAACTTTTCACATATTATTAAATGGGGGCAGTGAGGATAAAGAGTGGAGAGAAGTGATTAGCCAATACTGAAGAGGTCTGCAACGAATTGTTGGAGGACATAATTTACCCATTCTTCAAGAGACTGGTAGGTGCGTGGAGTCGGCCTCGGGGGCATTTAAGCAGCTACTGGATAGGCATATGGATGATAGTATAAGGTAGGGGTGGAGGTTAGATAGACCTTAGTATTAGGGTAGAAGTTTGGCACAACATCGTGGGCCGAAGGGCCCGTACTGTTCTATGTTCTATTAAATTTGTACATCACAAAGCTGGGTGGGAGGCTGAGCTGTGTGGAGGATGCAGAGTTGTTCCAGTCTGATTTGGAAAGGCTGAGTGAGTGGAAAAATGTATGGTAGATGCAGTATAATGTGGATAAATGTGAGGTTATCCCTTTGTTTGCAAATATATGAAGGCAGATTATTATCTGAATGGCTATAGATTGGGAAAGGGGGAGATAAAATGAGACCAGGGTATCTTCATCCACCAGTCACTGAAAGTAACTGGGAGTGTCTGATGGGGACTGTGTAAAGGGAGCTTTACTCTGTATCTGACCCCATACTGTATCTGTCCTGGGAGTGTTTGATTGAGACTGTGTCATGGAGGCTTTCAGTGTAAAGGAAGCTTTGCTCTGTATGTGAAAAGATAAACGTATGGAGAAATGTTAAATGTACATGGAATATGGGATTAATTGGGTTGCTTGCTCCAAGTGGCATAGGCACAATGACCTTGATGGACTCTCTTAAAATTCCTTCATTCTGAGTCTATGACTTGCCACCTTGAGCTTACATCCCCTTTTTCATCACAGATTCTGTTCCTGAATGTTCTCCTCGTTCTGCTGCAGGGAGGTTTTTTTGTCTGTGTTTCATCTCAACCTTTAATAACAGGAAAACTCCATTGAATCTCCTTAAACTTATCTCTCTGAAGGCAGTAACCTCAGTCTCTCAGATTTAACTATGCAATCTTTTGTTCTGTTCTTGTATATCGGAATTGTCAAGAGTAAGGAAGTCCATAGGACAGTCGTGGCAAAACCCCAAGAATTGTTAAGGATACCCCTAACAATGGAATGGAGGGCAGAACAGTTACTGCAATTGAGGGTGATGGGACTTGGAGCATCCCAAATGCAGCTCATCAGCCTCACCTGGTGGGAGTGCAGGGAATAACATTGAAATTGTTGTCTCCAGTGCTTCTTTGTATTCATTCATGGAATGTGGTTATCTCTGGTTAAGAGTCAACCATGTTGCTGTGGTAGCACTTGGATCGGCGTCTCTCTCTCTCTCTCACTCACACACACAGAAACACAAACTAGTAAGATTTTAAAGTATTATTAAGGATGAAATTGTGGAGTACTTGAAAGTAAAACAGTGATGAGTCAGCATGGCTTTAGAACAAAAGAACAATACAGCACAGGAACAAGTCCTTCGGCCTTCCAAGAGGAAGATTTCCCCTTCCATACTGAAACTGCCTTCACTTACAGGATCCATATCCCTCTATTCCCTTCCTATTCATGTATTCGTCCAGGTGCTTCTTGAACGTCGCTACTGTGTCCGCTTCCACTACCACCTCTGGCAGCGCGTTCAGGCACTCACCATCCCTTATGTAAAAACCTTGTCTTGCACCGCTCTTTTAAACAATCTCCCCACCCACACCTTGAACCTGTGCCCTCTCATAATTGACCCCCTCCTCCCAATCCTGGGAAAAAGCCTCATTTCCACTTCATCCATGCCATTCACAATTTTATAAACTTGTATCAGGTCACACCTCAACTCCTGCGTTCCAGTGAAAACAAACCCAGTCTATCCAACCTTTCTTCATTGCCTGATATGGGGGATTTTAGCTATCTGAAGAAGGGTCGAGGCCTGAAACATCAGCTTTCCTGCTCCTCTGATGCTGCTTGGCCTGCTGTGTTCATCCAGCTCTACACCTTGTTATCTAACATTCTGGTAAACGTTTTCTGTATCCTCTCCAAAGCATTCACAGCCTTCTGGTAGTGTGGTGAAAAGTTCTACAAAAGCTGCAGCATAACTTGTCTATCCTTATATTCAATGCCCCTTCCAATGAAGGCAAGCATGTCATAAGCCTTTTTTACTATCTTATCTACCACTGCCACCTTCAGTGATCTGAAAAACCCAATCAAGCTAGTGAGGCATGACCTCCCCCGCACAAAGCCATGCTGTCTATTGCTAACAAGTCCATTTACTTATAAATGCCCTGAGAATTTTGTTCAAACAGTTTCCGTACCACCAACATCAGGCTCACAGGTCTGTAATTTCCTGGATTATCCCTGCTACCCTTCTTAAACAATAGGACAATATTGGCTATCCTTCAGTTGTCTGGGACCTCACCTGTGGCCAAAGAGGATACAAAGATGTCTGTCAATGCTCCAGCAATTTGTTCTCTTGCCTCCCTCAACATTCTGAGATAGATCCCATCAGGACCTGGGGACTTATCTACCTTAATACTTTTTGAGGCACACAAAACCTCTTCCTTTTTAATAGCAACTCAGCTAAGAAACTCAACACTCCTTTCCCTGAGATCATCCTCCATCAATTCCTTTGGTGAATACGATACAAAATATTCATTTAGAACCTCACTTACCTCTTCTGGCTCCACACATATATTCCCTCCCTTGACTTTGAATGGGCCAATCCTTTCCCTGGCTACCCTCTTGTTTTTTTATATATATGTATAAAAAGCCTTGGGAATCTCCTTAGTTTTGTTTGCTAACAACTTTTCATGACCCTTTTAGCCCTTACAATTCCTTGTTTAAGTTATATACTTACTTTCCTTATATACTTCAAGGGCTTCATCAGTTCCCATCCTCCTAGACCTTACGTATGCTTCCTTTTTCTTTTTGACAAGGTCATAACATCTCTGGTCATCCAAGGTTCACATAACTTCCCATACCTGTCCTTCGTACTTGCAGGAATGTGCCTCTCTTGAACTCTTATCAACTGTCATTTTGAAATACTCCCACATGTCCAACATAAATTTACCCTTGAACAGCTGTCTCCAATCCAGTTCCTACCTAGTATTGTAGTAGTTCGCCTTGCCCCGATTTAACACTTTTCACCCGAGAACTGCTGTTATCCCTCTACGTGAATATTCTAAAACTCACAGTATTATGCCCCCTACTCCCAAAATGCTCCCCCATTGAAACTTCACTCCACTGGCTGGGCTCATTTCCCAAAACATGGTCCAATATAACCTCTTCCCTGCTTACGTATTGTGTCAAGAATCCCTCCTGAATGGTCCTTTACAAATTCTGCCCCATCCAAGCCCCTAGTACATAGTGAGTCCCAATCAATACAGGGGAAGTTAAAATCACCCACCACAACAACCCTGCTGTTTTTACATCTTTATAAAATCTGTTTGCATATTGTCAAGGGAGCGTATGCCTGACAAATCTGTTAGAATTCTTTGGGGAGGTAACGAGCAGGTTAGACAAAGGAGAACCAGTGGATGTGATCTGTTTGGATTTCCAGATGGCTTTTGACAGACTTCTAAATAAGATAATAGCCATGGTGTTTGGGGTAAGGTACTGGCATGGTTAGAGGATTGGCTGACTGGCAAAAGGCAGACAGTAGGGATAAAGCAATCTTTTTCAGGATGGCAACCGGTGACTAGTGGAGTTCCACAGGCATCAGTGTTGGGACCACAACTAGCCACATTATATGTTGATGATTTGAAGGAGCTGAGGGCATTGTTGCTTAGTTTGCAGATGACAAAGATATGCAAGAGGGTCAGGTAGTATTGAGAAGTGAAGAAGCTGCAAGAGGGTTTGGACAGGCTAAGGGAGTGGGCAAAGATGTGGCAGATAGAGGTAAACTGTGAAGTTATGCACTTTGGACAGAAGAATAGAGACGCGGACTAATTTCTAAACAGGGAAAGGCTTTGGAAATCAAGTGCAGAGGGACTTTGGAGTCCTAGTTCAGGATTCTCTTAAGGCTAACATGCAGGTTCAGTGGCAGTTAGGAAGACAAATGCAATGCTAGCATTTATTTCAAGGGGGCTAGAATACAAGAGCAGTAATGTACTGCTGAGGCTGAGTCAGGCTCTGGTCAGACCGCTTTTGGAATATTGAGTAAAAACCAAAAGAACTGCCGATGCTGTAAATCAGGAACAAAAACAAAGTTGCTGGAAAAGCTCAGCAGGTCTGGCAGCATCTGTGGAGGAGAAAACAGAGTTAACGTTTTGGGTCCAGTGACCCTTCCTCAGAACTTCT